TCCATCTCCTCGTCACCATCCTCCTCATCGTTTTCACCGTCCAATTCTGCGGCGTTCAATTCGCAAGCTGAAGGGTTTGTCCACGTGATATTCTGTCGATTTCGACTCATAAAATCAACACTCTCATATTCTTGTCTGCAAAACAGAACCATTATTAACTCGAACGTAGAATCGCCAGTGTCGAAAACTGAATTTGGAAATTCGGCATATTGAAATTGAAAAATTAAAAGTTGAAAATTCAATTTGTAAATCCACTCCAAACTCAAAATTGCAAATTATTAACTCCATGCATTCATCTCCATTTCGTGTGCATAAAATATGAAAACATTTAATGCTAAATTGCAAATTACTGGGGAAAAATCTGATTCAAAACCGAAATATATTCCAAAATGATGATGATGATGACATTGGCAAATAATTAGCACTCAGATGATAATTGATATCATCTGCATGATGGAAACTGATCGCAGGATAATATCTGTGAAAATAAGCAAAAGTCAACGAATCAAACGCTAACGTATAGAGGGCCAACAACCATGGACTCAAAGTTTTCGTTGTTTTCTCGGCGATTTCGTCGAGTTTCGACAACAAATTGAACATCTGCAGTCGAAACATTCCATAATCTGGTGAACGTGACGACGACACATCACAGAGCTGATCAAAAATGCGCGCAGTGGAATCCGTTCGCGTACAACGTTCATCCTCAACCGCACTACTCACTAAAATATTCCCAGTGAATGCTAAAAGAATACGCAAACAAATTTTGCACAAAAAAAGCCACACTTTAAACCGTTCAACAACTCCAACAAACGCCCTTAATAAACAAATAAGATTCACTGGTACTCTCAAATCAGTCGGATAGTCCACAGCGAACAAGTGCCTGTTCTAATTTGAGTGCCACTGATAGAAAATAAAATAATGAAATGAGACGAAAAAAATTCCACGAATGAATAAGAAAATGAAAAATTTTAGCCACAATTTTCATTCCCTCTTCATAAATACGTTTCTCAACAACATTTTAAAAGACAACAGTTTAATTAACAAAATTTCTAAAACAAAAAAAACAAATATCTAATCAACCGAAATACCTAAATGTTTTGTTGCGTCTTCAATAAACGCTACGAAAATGGGCCAAAACTGATTCAGTTTCATGCCGTAAGCATACGACTCAATGATTTCGAATAGAGGCGGCCAGTAGATCGTGAAACGTTCGAAGAGCTGTGCGATTATCACTCGAAGAGGAACCTTAAATTTGCCATTCCAATTGCACTGTTCGAATTCGCCTTTCAATCAGTAATGTGAGAAGAACAAAATGAACAACCCAATTAAGTTCCTTCATTAATTCATGCGAACAACTGAATCGAAAGGACAGTCCAATGAAATTTTAAAGGTAAAAAAAATTGCGATGACAGAGAAATAAAATGATTTGATGGATTTTCGCTGCAAAACAAACTGTCAATATGAAAATTGATAGGTTAAAACTGATTTTCCATTCGTTTCATAGGTTTTCAAATAATCAACGAACTGATCAAACTCAACTCAAACCAAAAAATCTTCAAATACAACATTACTGAATTTTGATTATACGAACTGCTAAAAACTCGATAAAAAAGACCCGACCGACCGTTTCCAACGCATCATTCGTACACTTCGGCATATGTTTCTCGTGCGCTCCGAAAAGAAGTTTGCGTAACAACATTAAACGATTTCGATAATCCGTCAACGTTAACGGTGTTCGTTCAACCTCCAACAAAATTTCGAATGCACTTTGCGGCGCTGAGTCCTGAAAACCAAAATCATATTATTTTGGAAGCCAATTCGCTCAATTTCTTGAAGTCTAAAGAAAATAAATTTCATCTAGTCACTAAGAATTGCACGTTTTCAGACTAAACGTTTCGCAGACTAATCAAACAAGTCGAAGAAGCGTTCGAGATCACAGTGTCAATCAACGTTTAAACATTTCTTTTTTCTAGGGACGGGAGGGGGGGAGGGGAGGAGGATATTTTGGCAACACAGCTGCGGATCTGAAAATAGGCAAAAATCTGCTGAAAGTAGGCGCAAAGGAACACATTTCTAATTCACTTGTAAATTCAGTAATTCTTCAAATCTTGGAAAATATAACAATCCACAGATAACATAAAAAGATTCGTATGCATAAATGAGATTGTTATCTGATAAAAAACTTCTTATGAAGTATAGTGAAAGAAGAGAATGAAACTGAACGATGTTTTTATGTAATAAACGAAACAATCGCAGAATCTAAATACCACGAAATACTAACCAATTCATCATCACCATTCGCTGAATGTGT